GAACTAGCCTCCAAGGAACTGGCTGCTTGGAGACAAAGGGAGAATCGACATGTAAGTAACTTGCAGTAGAACTCATCTTAAAGCAGCCATACAGTCAAATATTTGAAGATAAATTCGGAACGGAGCTCATAGTTGGTCCTGTTTGCAGACGATTGAAATGATAGAGAAAGAACAGCGAGAAGCAGAGAGACGACCGGTAACCAAAATCACTCACAAAGGAGAGATCGAAATTGAGAACCAGGAACCTGCAAAAGCCCCTGAGCCCATAGAGCCCTTGGTAAGATGGAAGGCATTCACTTCTTTAACTTATATAAGGCAGTTTCACTACGGCACAGTTACAGACTTTCCTGATTTCCCCACAGTCGGATCCTCCCCCTAAACCAGTTGAGGTGTCTGAGGAAAAAGCTCCAGACTCAAAGCCAGAGAGCCCCAAGAAAATTAAAGATACAACAAGCTTGCACAAGTCTCATCTCTTTGACCTTCACTGCAAGATCTGTACAGGTAACTTGTGCACACTGCAGTTTACTACACTTTGCAGGCTTATTCTAAACCTTAAAGTATGCTAAATTTGGCTTTTCATTTAATGTTCCTTTAAGGCCGAATGGCTCCACCTGCGGAAGAGGCCACCACCAAGGTTGTGAAAGTGGCCACAACTGTCATTAGAAGGCAGTCCACAGCCACAGAAGGAGACAGCCAGCAGACTACACCAATATCGCCATCTGCAGCTCCATCAGCACTGGTGGATGACTTGTCCCTGAGAGCCATGGAAGAAGGTCTTCTAAACTCCAGTATCTTCCCAGCATATGAGTCAAGGTAAGGGCGAAAAGCGATCTGTTAAAACAAGTGCACGACTTAACATCTATGGCAGAGATCCCCACCGAGGCCCTTTACAGGTCCAGGCTTTTGTTTGTACTACACATAAGGAGCCTCATATTAGGCTCAATTGATCATGCACCACCTTCTAAGAGTTGTTCAATCAGGTACTGAACAAAAGGTTGAATAACTGGGGTTCCTTGCTCTAACAAATCCACTTAAGCTCTAGTAGGACTTCTTAAAGATATGAGTAAGGAGGAGAGGCAGTGCTGAAAAATGCAGGCCAGGGAGACTCCACCACCAGATTAAGGGTACCACAGATTAAGGGTACCAAAGATTAAGGGACTGAAGAAGATTGTGGCTAGTGCCTATCTTCTTAAAGCAGGCATTGCTTTGGAAGCAATGTATATCTAATGAGACGCAACATAATATTTTCATTGGCACAGAACACAGGGCCAGTTTCCCAGACAGGGATTAAGCCTAGTCCTGGACTAAAGAGGCTTTGGATTGGAGATTTTTCACTGAAAGCAAAAAATGGTCCATGACTGGGTTTAATCCTGTCTGGTAAACCTTAATGTTGTATGTTAATGTTAACAACTTTTCCTTCAGGAATATTCCAGATGTAATTAAAACATCTGTAATGTTTTCTTACAGGTCGGAAAGTGTGAGCAGTAAAGAAGATACAGTTGCATTTCTTGCCAATTTAGAGAGCCTATGGAATGGGTATGTAGACATGCCAGCTGTAGCCAGGTTCCTTACGAAAGCTTACCCAGTTTCTGGAATATTGGACCACCTAAATGAGGTAGGTCTTACTGAACCTTAGACATCTCACTTTGAGGTCTGAATTTCAACAGATACACTAATTTCATCCACGGTTATGTTACAGGATCTGCCGGACAGCATCCAGGTTGGTGGAAGGATCTCTCCCCAGATAGTCTGGGACTATGTCGAGAAAATTCGTGCCTCTGGAACAAAGGTGAGAAATGACCAGATTATTGATCTTTAGCAAATGTCAGTATGAATGATGAGTATTGACACTATATTGTCTGCTTTTTCGGTAATTGTTTCTGTAATATTTTAGGAAATATGTGTCATTCGCTTCACCCCTGACACAGAAGAAGATGAAATATCATACACCTTGCTGTATGCCTATTTCAGTAGTCGCAGGCGATACGGTGTTGTCGCCAACAACCGCAAACAAGTTAAAGACATGTATCTCATCCCTCTCGGCTCCAGTGAAAAAATCCCTCACCAGATTGTCCCATTTGATGGCCCTGGTAAGTTGTCATCTCTGTACTGTTGTATCAAAAACGTACATGACTACTAATCTGTGTTTTTAACATTTTGTAGCTAATTTTAAAATGGTAGGGTCACAGGTGACCCTCTGTCTTACTTACAGAAGCCTCACAGGGTCCTGATTGGTACTTAATGAGCAGTTAATCATGTGTATCATTCATCAATACAAATCATTGTAGAACTTTAAAAAAGGCAGTTATTTATTTAGGGGAGTATCTAGCCCATGTTTCACCAAAATATAGGCTGCAGGCTTACATATTGGCCTATATACACTCATGCTAGCAATCAGTCAAAACCAATCATTAAACATGTTCTCTGATGTAATAGGGTTGGAGACCCACCGTCCAAACCTTCTCCTTGGTCTAATCATTCGCCAGAGACCTAAAAGGGACTTTGGGGTTATCCTACCAAGTGATGTTAGTGAAGCTCCAAGTTTCCTAAAGGAGAACAAACCTCAAGTAGATCCCATCCAGAAAACTGGCACACCCCGAGATGAAGAAAGAACCTTCATTAGCAATCTTGGTCGTATACACAAAAAGGACACCCCAAGCCTTATCAAATCCACTGCTGAGGAACTGTTGGAGTTGGAGGATGATGAAAATGTCTCCTTGCGTTTTCTCCCTGGCGTGCTGACGCAGCCCAAATCTGTGAAGACAGTGCCTGCAGGTGATGATGTAAAGAACACAACTAGCAGCACCATCAATCAGACCTCTGCCACTGAGAGCACCTCCTCAGGAAGTGTCACTCCCAAAACACCCACCACCCCCCGCCTGGATCGTTTCATCATCAAGAAGAAAGAGCCCAAACTTGTCAAAGCAGAGGAAGAGCCATCCAGCTCAAATGCAGAGATGAGCTCGCAGGGGAAAGAGAAAGAAAGCGGTGGTACAAGTGGAGGTACAAGTGCAGTTATATTATCTCTGAAGGATAAGCCAGGAGATGTTTCAACAGAGACTTTCCTCTCCAGCCTTGCCACAAGTCAGCCTAAGGTCGAATCTAGCAGCACTGAAACAAAAAGCGATAGTTCTGAAACACCTAGTCAAGAAACCAATCTGCTTCCTGCATCTTCATCAACTACATCAAAACATTCTGCCAGTGACAACCCTGAAGTTGTTTCCAACAACGAAAATATCTTAAGCCCAGCTAAGACTACGAAGCCACCAACGTCTGGCATTTTGAAGAAGAGCAGCATATCGGAACCTGATGATGCAAAGCCGCCAGCATTGAACACAGATGTGGCACAACCAAATGCCAGCCAGTCTGCTCCCACAGAATCTTCACCAGTGACCAAATCGGCACCTTCTCAGCAAGAGTTCAAAGCTGTGGAAGATATCCAAACCATCACCACCATCTCCTCTTCAGGCAAAAATGAAGGACTCAAGCAGTCGAGGACACGTCTTCTAGGTCCCACTCCCTTCAACTCTGCAAGCCATGTGCCTCCCCCAGCTACATTTCCTCCTTATAGTCATGGAGCACCTGACCATGCATACCATCCCGCACCACTACCCAACTACCCTCCCCAGTCCAGTCCGGCACCATTCATACCTTTACATCAGCAGGCTCCTGTACCATTCAACTTCCCTCCTGGTCCTCCTCTTCCAATGATGTTCCCCCAGACAGACCCTCCAAATCCAATGCACGCTGTTCCACCTTGGTCTCCGCCAGTCCCTCCCCAGGCTTGCTTTCCACACCCCATCCCAGAGACAGTTGCCAGACCGCCACTGTCCTACGCAGCCTCAAGGTTCCCTGATACCTCCTTGCTCTCAAAGAAGGACGAGAAGAGTGCTGAGGCAAACTACGATGACCCGTGGGACAGGCAGTCCAGACGTTCAGAGAAGGATGAAAGAGATCACTACGGAAAGCATAGGCACAAGGGTCGGCACCACGAGCGGGACAAGCACAGGGCAAGGAGCCGGAGCCGGAGCCGGAGCCGAAGCCGAAGCCGGAGCCGGAGCCGGAGCCGGTCCAGAAGCAGCAGGAGTCGGAGTAGAAGTAGGAGCCGTAGCAGAAGCAGGCATAGACACAAGAGCAGGCACTCTCGTGATGACCGGCATGGGGAGAGGAGGAAAGAGAAACACCACAGCAGCCATCATCACAGGGACAGGGACAGAGACAGAGAGAGGGACAAGCGCCGACGAGACTCTGAACATGAAAAACACCGGAGAGACTCAAGAGACTCGAGAGAGGGGCACTCGTGATCTCCATACTCAACCCTGGTCCACCTGTTCAACACCACTGACCTGAGACATGTTCCTTTTGTATTTTACTACAGTTATTTATAACATTCAGAAGCAGCTTTTTATAAGAGTGAATGATTTTAGGTTTTAGTTGGTTCGTGTTTTGAATTCAAAAGTGAGGCTTTTTTTTCCTGTAAAGACTAATGTACAAGACTACATGGTCATAGAAGCAGGCTCTTATGTACTGATTACAAGCAATTGGAAATTATATCTACTGTTTAAACAAAAAATAATCCCAAGAGCAAAACATGTCCTGATTTTCTTTTGTCTGCCTTTTTATCAGGGTATTTTTTTTTTGTTTTGTTTTTAAAAGTCCCTTAAATATTTTCTATTTGTGTCAAATGACATTTGTCTTTGTACATTTTGGCTTGTCGAACATTAGAGATAACATGTGCCTTCTGCACATTGTGTTTATGTACAGTTCATAAAATACTTTTTATTGTTGATAGAAAAAGATAATAAAACCTTTTGTTAATTAAAGATGCTGAGACAACATTAATGCGTGGGGACAAGAAGTACTCTGCAAGTATTCTTTAATAGTCAAGACTCAAGAGCTCAATAAAGAGTTCTTGTTTATTTTTCAATGTACAGAATGTACAGAATGCCCTGCAGAGGAGATAAAAAGAACAGCAAACATTGTATACATTTGACAAGAGGTTAGCACCTTGAAAGAAAGAACAGAAAACATTCTATTTTTGGTTTCTGCTGAAAAAGACTGATCAGCCACAAGAGCACCTGCAAAACATTTACTAAAATGACCACTGTATAAACAGAGAGTCCAGTGGAGATTTTAAGGTTGCAGACTTTCCTTCCTCATTTCTCGTAACCAAATCCATATGATCGAATGACAAAATTTTCAAAGGAATTCATTTCTAAAATTTCACCAATAAATGCATTTAAAATTACATTTCTAAAACTACTGTGTAGTACAGGACATCTAATCTTCTCCTTGATAAACATTAAAGCCCTCATAGGTTTGAAGAAACTGCAGTGCTCTTGTGTCTTGATACAAAACAACATCTTTGATGCTTCCCACAAACCCGGTGGTGAAGAGACCAGATGAGACTGATGCTACATCTCTGTTCAACTCAAACCCTCCGAAATAATAGACACCTCCGTAATTATTGGCAACATAGCGCTCGAAAGGGTCAATGTCTTCAAAAATAACCCTCTCGCCATCAACAAAAGCCTGGACGACAGTGCGATTGAGGGTGATGGAAACGTAATTCCACCGTTCGCAGCATAGCATCGCGTCCCGGGAGATGAGCGGAAGAGCTACCTTTTCGCCAAGATTCATGGCAACTTTTAAATGACCGTTCTGAACTCCCACAGCGAGATAGTCATCGTCCTCACTTTCCGCCCGTCCCATCCACAGAACCAGCCCGTCTTCCGAGCTGGTGGAAAGGTTAAATGATACTTGTGTGTACATCAGGTTTCTCGAATTATACTTCGGATCTCTGTATTTGAGATATGAATTTCCGACAAAGCGTACGGTCCTCATTGATACCAGCTGATCGCAGTACGTCCCGTTCCATCCCAGGGCGCAAACGCAGGAATATGAGGCGGTAGCAACTTTGGGAACGCAAAGAGAGCCATGTTGACACCGGTTGCCGACGCAGTGAACGGACTGATCGCAACGGGCGCCCGTCCAGGGTGGGGGGCAAATGCACACGAATGAATCGAGACCGACGGGCCGGCAGTAGCCGCCGTTCTGACAAACTTTGTACCCGCATCCCGTCCCGTCCCAGTCGCCTACATTTGCCCCCCTCAGCACCCCTCCCTCCGTGAGCTCCAGGTCACGATCGTTAACAATGACCTCACGAATGCCACCAGTGAAACCCACTGGCTCTTTCTCCACTGCACTGGGCGACACCAAGTTCAGGCTGGACACACCGCCGACAAAAATGTCTGTGGTGACGTCCAGAGTAGTCATACCCTCTGAGGTGTTCCGCGTCACCTCTTGGTCATCTAGGACCAGGTAGCCTTGGTTGCCCACTCGCCCGGCCTTCACCTTGTGCCACGTCCTGCCGGTCCAGTCCACTCTGTTTTGAGACTGCAGAGCGATCGTTCCGTCTCCTAGACTGTAGCGGAGCTGCACGAATCCAGCAGACAGAGACACACTGATGAAGTCACCTTGAAAGAAGACACAAATTGGATCGATCAGTCTGTTTGTATACCCATTACAGGTAATACTGTAGTCTTTGTTAACGTGCACTGTCTACTCTAATTTAGGTGCTTCAGCGTAGCCCCCTTGACCTCGATGTAGCTTTGCACACTCTCGGCGTTCTCTTAAGCAACACCATGAAGAACCACCTGGGATGCTTTTCCATCAAGTTCTACATGCAGTTGTGTGTAAATGTTTGGGCGCCCTAGTCAAATGCCATGTTTTGTTGAAATTTCTCTACAGAACGTGCACTTCTGCACATTTTCATGCACAGTGACTGTTTATTTATAGCATCTGACAAAGGAAAGAAAAAAAACAACACAGTGTGGCCTGTGCAAAAGTTATGGCACCTTTTATATTTTAGGTTTTCCAGTACGTTAAACTAATCAAATAAACACAGACTGTGCACAAAATGCCACATTTAAGGGCGTTCCTTGTAGAGGATAGATAAATTTACTTGGGTTCTCCCTTTTTACCCCCACTTATAATGCTTATGTTTTATGTACAAAACAAAAAGAGTCAATTCATTTGTACATGACTATTTCCTACTCTTAACTCCTTAGAATCTTGTTTTTGTTACTGTGCCTTAAAAGACTGGCATAGTTATGTAAATGAGCTCTGTTCTGACTCGCTGCATTTTTGCATATATATGTATATATATATATATGCTGCAGCTGTTTTACGACGTCAGGAAAAACGTCAGGAAAAACACAGACTAAAAACACACTGAAAGAGTTTGGGATTTGCTGACCAGCTCGAGCACTCAGATACTGCGCTGTGTAGAAAAGGATGCCCTCTGGTGACAGAGTCTGGAACTGCAGCTGAAGGTTCGTCTTGTGTCTCATGCTGACCGGAGGAAATGCCATCCAGGAGGACTGGTTAGCGCTGAAGAACGGGTCAGTGATGGACAGAACTGTATGGGGGCAAAAAAAAAAACTTAATTCTGGTGGTCTGTGGGTCTTAGTCTCTCAGTGGTTCTCTCAATTGTTCACTTTAGAAACCACAAATATCAGAGAAGGTATTAATAAATGAACCCCTAGAAGTGGATTTATTATGTAGTTTTGCAGTACTGTTCAAATCTATGCAATTACACAATCAATTACAAGCTGATGACATTAACACTGACATTAGCGTTTGATTTATTTACACGTCTGCAGGTTTTTACAGATTGTTTCAATGTGAAAAAAGGAATATTTTTTCTTTCTGCAAACAAGATGCAAAATACTGCCTTTTCATCAGATTCAGATCACAGTCATATGCAAAGTTTGGAGACGTTTCTACATTTTCTACAACCTTTCGCAGCTTGTGACCCGCAAAAACAACCACAAAATCTTCCATGGCCTACAAGATAACTGGCCTGATCATTTGAAATGCAGACAAAGATAAATATATGGCAAATAGGGGGAAATATGTTTAACCCCAAAATAGGCTGGCACTGTGAAAGAGGTCTAGAACCCCTGGATAAGGAGGACTGTGGTGCCACTTACAAACTGTTTTGTGTTTTACACGACAGATTATATAGTTTAATGCAACAGTTCCGGCCACGCAAGCTGATTGGTTGAGCAGCAGTCTAACTGTGCTGTTATTTCACCACAACATCACAGGTTTTTCACAAACACTGTATCACTCCACTGAGACGCCGTTGCTAATCAACGACTTTGACAGCTGTAGGAGACGCTCAAGGCGTTTGAACGTTTTTACTTCTTACTTTGCCACAAACAAAAAACGGACACTTTTAAGATCACATTTGACCGACAGCCGATTTGGTCAGACTCTTAAGATGAGACGACACTAAATTCCCAAACTGTCATCACCACTGAGCAGCTTTTCAGTTGGCAGCTGTGACAGAAGAACAGCTAAACAACCTGGAATCAGCCAGAAATGAACCCAACACCATTCGCCAAACGTGTAGTCTGATCTTCAGAGTCTGACCAAATCAGACTGAGCCATAAAACTGCCCAATAAAAAACAAAAAAGCTGCTCAGTGGTGATGACAGTTTGGGAATTTAGTGTAAGGAGCTGGAGAACGAACTGCTGGCTGTGCAGCGAGTGGGCGGAGCTCGTTACTCTGACGTAGCAACAAGTTGCTCGTTAAGGAACTATAATTTGGTAAAGGAACTGCGAACATTAAAACATATTAAACGCCGCGTTCACGGCCCAGTTTATTAATTTATTACTTTATTTATTTAACTGTTGTATTAAAGCAATAGAACACTCGAGGAGTGTGTTATCGCCAATAACATCACGGCTGTGATGATCTACGGCGACCAAATCACAGCCATGATGTTATTTCACGATAACACACTCCCTCTGTGTTCTACTGCTTAAATAAATTTATATAGTACAAATTATAAGCTCTCTGAAATTCTAATATGTAACTCAGCAATAATCTGACTCTTTTAAAGGGGAGTTTCACCTGTTTTCATTTCTGCGTAATTCACTGTTTAAGATGGTTTGGTGTGAAATGGTTCAGATGTCTTTACAGTGGTGGTGATGGAAACCAGGGGTCACCATGACTACAACACAAATATAGACATTTTATTTACTATCCAGAACCACCAGAGAACCCACACGAGTCTTCTGAGAATATTAATGATGGAAAAATCCTGAATAAATAAGGTTTCTTTGGGGACTATTTTGCCTTAGAACACTCTTCTTATATTCTTTCACCATTAATGTATTAAAATAAACTAATTAAAAAATGTTTTATACTGGACATTTTATCACAGAACTATCATAAAACAGTGTCTCGGTCATCAGGCAGTGAATTCATAACCATTTCATGTAGTAACTCTGTGAGGGAGCTTTTAGAGGTGGACGTCTGGTTCCTATCACCACCACTGTGAACAGTTCTGGCTCAGTAAGTTTTTCTAGAACAGAGCGTTTCACACCAAACCACTCTGAACCGCTCTGTTTACGATTTATCTACTGTAAAATTCTGAAAATTTGGTGGAATTTCCTCTTTTCATTCCATTATACTGGAACCCTGTGAATATAAACAGTAACCCTCTGACAGTTTTTAACTGGGGGAGGGTGGCATCCCCTTGTATCCCCCTCTCAAATCAAGCCCCTAGTATACTCCGTAGTGACTGTTATTCTCCGTACACTCTTAAAAAAGATGGTTCTTCAAGGGTTCTTTAGTAAAGACAATGGTTCTATATAGAACCATGAATACTCAAAAAAAACATTTGCATGCTTAAACGGTTCTTTGCATGGCGAAATCATTCTTCAGATTGATGGAGAATGTGCTGTATACATAGAACCTTTTTGAAAAGGGTTCTATATAGCACCAAAAAGGGTTGTTCTGTTGTTACAAGCTTGACATCGTGACAACAGCAGAACCCTTCTTGGTGATATATAGAGCCATAAACAACAAGGGTTCTTTGAGTGTTTATGGTTCTAAATAGAAGCACTGTCTTTACCAAAGAACCCGTAAAGAACCATCTTTTTTATGAGCGTAGTGATTGTTGCTAACTGTGTTACTAACTGGTTTAACAGGGATTTTCACTCTAATGCACTTTAGCCGTGCTAAACACGGAAGAGAGGTCAGCACTAGTCTTACCTTGCTGGCAGAACTGTCCAGCGGTGCCCAGAGGACACTGACAGGTGTAGCCATACGGAAGCGGGACGCATGTGGAGCCGCGGGCGCAGGAGGGAGGCGGAGAGTGTTCTGCATCACAGAACGACACTCTCTCAGAGCAGAGAGCACCTTTCCACCCCAACACACACTGACAGCTAAAGAGGCAGGAGAGGAAAAGGGTTTAAAACAGGGGAACATGATACTGGCCTTTAAGAGGAACTCAATACAGTACAGTACAGTACAGCAGTACATTTAACAGGCACATTTAAATAGGATTTATACACTCACTGTCCATTTAAATCAGCTCCTCTGACCATACAGTTTACAGACTGTAGTCCATCTGTTTCTCTGCATACTTTGTTCGCCCCCTTTTACCCTGTTCTTCAGTGGTCAGGACCCCCATGGACCCTCACAGAGCAGGTGCTATTTGGGTGGTGGATCATTCTCAGCACTGCAGTAACACTGACGTGGTGGTGGTGTGTTAGTGTGTATTGTGCTGGTCTGAGTGGATCAGACACAGCAGTGCTGCTGGAATTTTTAAACACTGTGTCCACTCACTGTCCACTCTATTAGACACTCCTACCTTGTCGGTCCACCTTGTAGATGTAAAGTCAGAGACGATAGCTCATCTGCTGCTGCACAGTTTGTGTTGGTCATCCTCTAGTCCTTCATCAGTGGTCACAGGACGCTGCCCACAGGACACTGTTGGCTGGATATTTTTGGTTGGTGGACTATTCTCAGTCCAGCAGTGAAACTGAGGTGTTTAAAAACTCCAGCAGCACTGCTGTGTCTGATCCACTCAGACCAGCACAACACACACTAACACACCACCACCACGTCAGTGTTACTGCAGTGCTGAGAATGACCCACCACCCAAATAGTACCTGCTCTGTGAGGGTCCTGTGGGCATGTTTGACTGAACATATGCACTGCAAACTAATAATATTATCTTAAATCTAGTAATTATATAGAGTATTTCTCAATATGGGATTTTGTATGCTTACTATAAGATTATTGAACTTATTTCTAGACGTTTCTACTCGTTTTAGTGATTTAAGTCAAACGATCTCACTATATTGGCAGATAATTTGTTTTAAGTATATTTTATACAACCAGCAAAATTATCTGCCAACACAGTGAGACACTTTGACTAAAGTCACTAAAAACTAAAAACTAAAATCACTAAAAACAAGAAATAAATGTGTAGAAATACATTAATAATTTTATATTAAGCTTACAATAATCTCAAAATGAAAAATATTAGCTATATCAACAAGATTTAAGATTATTTTACTTGCTAATATATAATTTTTGCAGTGCAGTTTTACATAAAAAACATTCTGGTCTAAAAGCCGATGCTAAAATGCTTGAAGTTTGTTTCTGAGACAAATGCGGTATAATCAGAGCACATTTAATAGCTTTTATGTTCTCACTTTTAACTCTAAACTGTGGAAGACAGTAAAACAGCAGTTTAGAGTAGGTGTGTGTGTGGAAACTCCTGACTGGCAGTGTTTGTGAAAAACTCCCACTCAGACAGCCTGGAATTACACTCAGCTAAGAACAGGGCAAAGTCACGGTGTACTTTATGGTGTCCTTTAATAACTGAGACGGTGAAAACTTACTACACAGAGGATCCCGAGTCCACGCAGGTGCCTCCATTCTGGCAGTGGACGAGGCTGCAGGGAGTGACCCCACACTGACCCACGCTGCGGCCCGACACAGGCTGACCTTCTGGCTCTCCTGGAGCACGAAACTTCCCGTCTGCTCTCGTCCGGAACAGGACATCAAAAATGCAGCCTTTTCAAAGACAAACGTGCACACACACACACACACACACACGTTTGTCTTGCTATACATATGAGGACGTCCATAGGTTTCAATTTATTTTTGTGTTACTGTACCTTAATAATACTACATCTTAAACCTAAACCTAACCCTGACCTTAATCTCAGTATCCAAAAGGCAATTTTTCTACTCTTTTAGTTAAAAAAAAAAAAAAAGTTATTGTGGTGAAAACGACACATGCTCAAGTGAGGACCAGCAAAATGTCCTCACTTGAATAAAAATTTCATACAGTCCTATCATAGCAAGGACATGGGGTCCCCACAAGTACAGCAATACAAACACACACACACACACACACTATTTATTACTGTGTGTACTATAGCTTACCTACAAATGCTCAAATTACTAATGATTATTAGCAGCGTTAGAGTTAGGATTAGGACCAGGGTCAGGTTTAAGTGTTCTTTTTAGAGTTAGTTAAGATGAATATATGTTCACTTGAATGTACAATACTGTGCAAAAGTCAGAGACCACCATTTATTTCTTTAATATTCAGCTAAAGTGACTATTAAGTGCAAGTTATTCACTTTTTCAGCAAAAAACACGTATTTAACAGGAAATTACACAACAGTGTCAACAACTTAATATATCATGTGTGTCCACTTGTGTCCTTTATTCCAGCTTCCATTCTCTTCAGGAGACTCACTTTCAGTTCCTCAAAGAATCTGCAGACACACCTCCAAAGTTCAGTCTTAGAAGTTGGTTGCATTTTCTGCTTCTCACGATCCAAACACATTCAGTGATGTTGAGGTCTGGACTCTGGGGTGGTCAGTCCATCGTTCAGCTTCTTTGTTTGATGTGTCTGTCTCCTTTTCTCAGTGAGGTTCTTCTTGATCAGCTACACATCCTTTCAGACCCACAGCGCTGAGTCGTCTTCTCACAGTGGAAGGATGGACAGAAACACCTGTGGATGTTTTCAGATCTGAAGCAGCTTGATTTTCTCCTCTCTCTCAGAGATGAAAGCTTTAAGCGCTGTTTATCTGATGGGGGCAGTTTTTGGGGTCGACCAGCTCTTCCAGGTGGTTCTTAGGTCTTCTTTTCTCTGTAGCTTTTACATGTTTTCTGAACTCCAGTTTCGGAAAGTCGTGTTATTTTAGCTGTTAAAACTTATTTTAACTTTGATTTTTACTGCAAGTGGAGTATCTTCTCGGAAATATCTCCTCAAAAACAAATAACTTGTACCTAATGGCTGTTTTGACTGCACATTAAACATGATAGTCTCTGACTTTTGCACGGGACTGCCAAAAAGCCATGGGCTGTAATGGGCTTCTTCTAAATGGAAGTGGTTTCACAATATGTGAAATTAAACTGGTGATTTCTGTCAAAACGCTCAATTTCTTTGCTTTTTCTTGAGAATTTTATGTACATAGTTGAAAAAAATACACTTTTTTTTTAATTTTGCAGGTTCTGAAATGCAGTTTCAGATAAATGTATTGCTATTTATTGTTATTTGTTCTTATTACTATCATACCAGAGGCATGTTGACATGATTTAACATCACTACTTGTATAGTCACAGTACATTACTTGCAGGTTCAGTGAATTTTGCAGAGTCACCCTTGTTGGCCAGTAGCCGTTCAAAACGACAATCAATGCCACAAAGATCTGTCTAAGTTAAGGTGTGTTTAAGTGTTATGTTAACCTATAAAAGCCCTCCCCCACAGAGATATATTACAGTACATAAAGCGATAATTAAAAAAACAGCATTTATATGTTGACTCTGGGGCTTTTTGTGCTGGCATTTTCAGGACACAAACCCAAACATGCCAAAAAACTTCAAACAAATTCAGGAGCCTTTCACATATTCAAGTCTCTTATCCTCCTACTATCGTCCTACTTACACAGCATAAAAGATCAGAGCCAGTACCTTTTTCATCATCACTGCAACGGAAAAAGCTTCCAGTTTTAAAGGAATACTCCAGCGTTTTCCGACCAAATCTGCCACATCATGCCTTGTACAGTCAATTATCGACCATACTTTTCCCTGTACTTATTCTATACTTCTTCTATTAGAAGTGTTTCGTGAATAGAGAAATATCTATTCCATAGTAATAGCAGTATTCCTTTAATTCCACTGTTGTAAACTGCTAAAACAGTTTTTTTTGAGTCTTGGAGCAAACAAATAAACCCTGAACACAAACTGAATTTGCACCTCTTTCTTCCTTTTGCCATATTTATGTGAAATATCCTCTGTGAAAAGCTGCCGTTTTGGAAAACACAAGGTTTGCTCCTGAAAGCAAAAATATGTGGAGAGCGGGGTCAGCAGTTGCTTTGGGTCATCGTCGAGCCCTTCAGCGGTGCCTACAGTCAGAGCCTGCCTGCTGAATTAGTCATGCCAGCACTCTTTTCATTCATGAATATTCATGGCGCGAAGCCGTCTACGCCCCACGCTCGCTTGCTCTCAAGTGACTGTGGCAAAACAGCAAATATGTGGTGTTGACAAAGAGAGGCAGATGGTTTAAGTGGGTGATTGTTTTGCGTTAGCTAAGGAGAGAAGAACCGGGCAGCAGAATGGGAGGAGGGTGGGGAGGGAGTGGGAAGAGAGCAAGGGATGGAGAAAATGAGAGATCAGGGGAGACGGAGAGCAAGCAAGAGGAAGAAGTGTGTGTATGAATACACAACACACTCACGCCGATGAGCCAAAACATTATGACAACTCGCAGAACGTAGATTATCTCGTAACATGTCGAGGTCTGGGATTTATTGAACGGTTGCTGTATTCGGTGTGCTGGATGTGGAGAAATGTGCAGGCGTGGAGACCTGAGATAGGGCCAAATTATGTTTGCCAACTGGGTCACAGCATCTCCAAAACAGCCAGGCTTGAATGGAGCTCCCGGTCAGCAGTGGTGGGTAACCACTGGCAGCGGTCCACGAACCACTGATAGGGTACTGGACTCATGGATGCACGAGGGCGACAAAGTCTATCCCATCTAACAGAAGAGCTGCTGTGGCACAATCACAGCAATTTTTAGTGATGGTTATGATGAGGATTCACAATGCACAGTGCATCACACCTGCTGCGTCTGGAGCTGTGCAGCTGCAGACTCGTCAGAATGCCCATTCTAACCCTGTCCACCACTGAAAGAGCCTACAGCTAGCTTTGAAACTGGACCGTGGAGTAATGGGGGAAGGTCATCTGGTCTGATGAGTCCCGTTTTCTTTTACATCACGTGAACAGTGGGGTACGTGTGCAGCGTTAACCTGGGGAAGTGATGGACTAGGACGCACTGTGGGAAGAAGACAAGCCAATGAAGGGAGTGTGATGCTCTGGGCATCGTTCCGGTCTGGGCATTGATGTGGACGTCAATTTGACACGTGCCACCTACCTGAACATCACTGCAGACCAGGTACCCTCCTTCATGACGATGTTCTCCAATGGTGGCCTCTTTCAGTAGGATAATGTGCTACACTGCACACATTCGAGAACACTTTGAGGAACCTGATGAAGAGGTTCAAGGTGTTGCCCTGACTTTCAAACCCCCAGATCTCAATCCCATGGAGCATCTGTGAGATTTGCTGGAACTGCAAATCCTATCTGTGGCGGCTCCACCTTGCAACTTAAGATCTGCTTCTAATGTCTTGGTGCCAAATACCACACGGTACCTTCAGAGGTCTTGCAGACTCCATGCCTTGATGGGTCTGAGCAGATATTTTTTCCCCCAATATGTTAGATTCAGCATTAAAATGAGCCAAAGTGTGTCATCTGTAGAGAAAGTGTACTCAGTCATTTCAAAATCCAAAAATGTCATTTGACCAGGGCCCCCCAATCTTTTGCATATCGCTGTTGTCAGAAGAAAACTTTGTGTCTCCAAAATGGTAACTTTACAGGAGAAGGAAAAAACATACTCTACTTTTAAAGTAAGTCTATGGAACCAGACTTTTTTCCAAGTCATTTTGGGTCATTACTTTTAGTCCATTCATCATGAAATTTACATACAATGTAAAGGACAACAGGTACTTTTAAATTATGTCACAAACTGAAAAACGCCAAAAGTGGAGATACAAAATTTTCCTCTGACAAAAGCGATATGACTATACAGGCAGGTGTGCTGCATGATAAGTGATGAAATGAAGGAATTCTCATCCTACTGTGCTCGGTGGCATGTATAAAAATGCCGAGGAGGCCCAGTTGACGTCAGTTTTGGATCAAGATGGCAAGAGGAAAAGATCTAAGTGACTCTGAAAGAAGGATCGTTACTGGGGAACGGATGGCAGAGACTTCAGTCACAAAGACTGCTCAACTGGACAGGGTTTCGACAGGGACTAAAGTGACTGCATTTAGATCTGTGTGAAAGTGTGGTCAAAAGTGCTCATTCAGTTAACGTGATGCTCGTACATTAGAGCGATGTGTAAGGAAAAACAGAAGAGCAGCTGTTCCTCAGGTCACTGAGAATATCAGTGCAGGACGTGACCAAGAACAGTCCGTCCATGGTCAGAGCTGCCAACCTTGGGAAAATATTAGGCGTACGCAGTGGTGTAAAGTTTATTTATCCAACAGAGTTGCTCTCTCTCTTCCTGTCAGTGTCGTCCTTATCTGAGGTCATGTTTATTTTAACTGTAACACACACACACCCACCTCCCCGTAACTTCCTAGGTAGAGCTGGGCGATATGGCCAAAAATGTTATCACGATAAACAAAATTCATATCGTTCGATATCGATACATACCGCGATAAATGTCAAATCATTATTTCTTTCAAGTTTGAAGGCTGATTTGTGCTCCTGGGTGGTTAATCGCTGTTTTAAACTATCCTTTATGGTCAGAACACGACAAACACTCACCAAACAGTGGAACATTTCACAGATCTGTCATGGGACAGTGGGAGAAAGTGTCTGCTGAGCTGTTTTTACCAGCTGGAAAAGCACGGCTATTTTGTAATAGTCATAATTTAAGAAAGAAAACAGATTATTTTTAGCTACAAATGACATCACAGTATTCAGACACCAGCTAGAC